GCTGGAGGTAGAAAAACAACTCTGTTGACGGGGTGAGCGTTAAAAAAGGGTTAGGTACATTTTTTAGAGAGACTGAAGAATTGCAAAACGAATTACGGCTAGGGTGGTGTCTAGGAACATTAGGCGGATGCCCAAGCAGGCTAGTGTTACGAGTTATCTTTCTATATTTGTACTTATATTGAAGTTTTTGGGTTTGCCTCTGAACTGTACATATATTGTTTAAATTTGATATAATATGGCTACCGCCACATTTTCGGACGGACGCGGTGGCTGCTGGACTTAGCTTCACTTATCAACTATTGTGTTGGATACTCTGCGGAGTAATTTAACCCTGGAAGAAACACAAATTCCGTAAGACTTTGTATTTCCATTTTATAATAATATAGAGACGTTTTCTCCTAGAATTTTACCCTTTTTGATTTGGTCGGGACCCGGAACAAGGAAAAACGTACAAGAGTGTTTCTATAGGAAACAATTGGGACAGCCACTGTCGAAATAAATCTACAGTTAATATATTAGGTCTTAACTGATGTTTAGTTTTGAAGTCCTTGATCTGTCAGTAAAAATGGCTTTAAAGACTCGTACTCTTTTCTCACGAAGAAGCTTTCGTCACTTTCCTATTTGACGGTTGCATTCTCGCTGTCGGATTAACAATTAGCCCGAGTGGTCATTCGGCGATTTTACTCATGCTATGTTTCTTGTTGGTATCATAACGACCACTTACAGACACCAACCTTCTTGTCCTGTGGTCAGTAGTAGTAGTCATTCTAAGTAAGGCGGATATCTGTCACGTTGTGAAGGAAGCTACGTTTTGTTAACAGAGAAGCATTCTGTGGACCAGTCTTCATAAGCCTATGTTAAATTCGATTGATTTGATTTTAACGACCCAATCTCCCTAATGCTAGTCTATTTTTTCGTCAGTTCCCCGGGTTGCTTTGTGACGGTGACGTAAAAAAATTACATATCTTTTATCTACTTAGCTTATATAGTGCAGCTGGATTACGTCTAGGGAAACCGGCCTTTAATTCAAATTATGCGACTCCTGATTATTACGTCTAAACGCTGCTGTGGTTTGTTTAGTTTAGAGACAAATTTTGCTGCATTTGCGAAACACGTAAGGTCTTCTGTCAAAACCTTGCATAATCAGATCTGCATAACTTCAGGTAGATCAACGGATAGTCAGGCAATTATTTATGCTGAATTATAGATAGTCAGGGATAACAAATCAACAAGTTAGCCTTTGGGACAACGTTTGATTAAAAGAAAGAGGACAGCCAAGAAAAGTCACTCCCTACGTCAATTTCAGGATTGAGTGGTTAATAATCAATGCTAATACTAACATACGGAAGATCTTTACATGTATGGACTCAAGGGATCTTACACCAATCCTTTAAATCCAATTTTTTAGCTCAAAGCACATTTTGTTCTTTGAGTCATGGCTCAATTTGATAATAATAATAATAATCTATTCTTAAATAACAAACATGTTACAAGAGACATGCCAATTTACAGGCAAGATCAAAATGTTAAGATAAGCAACATATTTCTCTTAGAACAGTATACAGTTACTGAAATATTTCACCAGATTCATTGGATTTCTATAAATGGAATGTACAATGCGAATAATCTGTGCGAGTTACGAAGGCTGCGTTACGATTATCATCTTATTGACTGTGAAACGATGCATGGTAAGTAAGTATGATCATCATTTAGACCAATTATCTTCCCGTCACTAAGCGTAATATCTCCTCCAATCAAAGACTGAGAAGATTTTATCCATGAAAGGGCGTATATTTGCTACTGATCTTGAGTTATCGAAAGAATACCGAGATCGTGCCAGAGAAGAAGGTCGAGGTTACGACGAGCAGTATAGCCAAAGTGGCAGCAACACAAACGGAAAGTTTACGCGCTCAGTACGGTGAAACTATCGTTCATGCAATTGGTTATAACAATGAATGTTCTCATCAAACCAATCACCTTCTTTTCCTCAAAGTGGAGTCACTAAAGTTGTCTAATAAAGTCTAAGCTTCGATTAATTTTGTATCAGCTAGTATACCTGAATGTCCGAGTAAAGTCAATGGGAGGCTTTCGTCGCCACATCTTGTTCTTCTCTTACTTGCTTACAGAGGGTACTTCTATTGTATATCAACTGGTTTTAGTAGGTGGTGAGGCTTCTAGCTAAGATCTTATTGCATGTTCCCCGAGCTTTTCGATGTCCGAACCTGAGTAATTAACAACTCATTGATAAGAACGGCATTCGTAAATATTTCTTACCCACCGGCAGCTTATGGGTTTTTCTGTCGATCCAAGGATTGGATTGTAAGAAATTAAATATTTGACATTGGATGAATTGTAAACACACAGACTTGAACGTGGCTCTAAGTGTATTTCATTCGTTTACGACCGACAAATTCACACTGACTAACCTTTACTACGGTGAGACAGACACACGACTCAAAACTCCTAAGAAATATAAATTATCTCCCTAAGATCTCTTATGAAATTTTAAGGAGTTGGAGATCTAAGAGTGAGCATGAGAAGTTCATTAAAATGTTTAGGTTAGGAACTTCGGGGGCTTTAGACTGAAATGAATATCTTGGACGCTGCCAGGAAGATTCAGGCAGGTATTTAGTTTCACGACTATAAAAAATTCATCCTGATATGCTTTCTACGTTTTCAGCTGTTCTGGACTTGAAAATGATTGCTCTAGGTTGCTGGAAAATAATGAACCATCTCTGAAAAGCGCTTACAATTTTCGCTGAAGACCATTCCTAGGTTCTCCGGAGCAAATCAA